TAAATGACGGACGCGTGGGAGTTATTTTGTGTTTGCGTCAACTTTGATAGAGGAGCCTTCCGATTTACGAGCTTAAAATGATTGAGTGGAAATGCTACACGACGTTACAAAACAGGACGCGTGGTATCCGAACCATTCAGCACGGAGCAACAATCGAATCTCGGCCGCGAATTGCGTCCGCTATAAGTGGCGTTCAATTGGCAGAGTCTTTTCGCTGGGCCAGGATCGACCGAGTCGAGAAAATTCAATTGCTCGGGTCGAAATTGAGGGGAACCGGAACCACGTTCCACCTAGAATTACGAGCCATTCATAGCGCGGAACAATGTTTACGGTTTCCGGGAAGCGATTAGTTTCCGAAATGAAGTCCCAAATGACGTTTCGCTCGAAGAAGGTGGTCAACGCGAGAGTTCCTTTGGAACGCGTAGGAGCAGGGGAAACTTCGTTGCCGAGTACTTTTTGGTCTCATTTTCGTCGAGCAAATAAATTCTCTGATAGAAGTAATCATTTTCCTAATAACGCGCGGAGCTGCGATCGGTAACCTTAACCCTTTATACAGCAGAACTCACGTTTTTATTTTTGTTTTGTAATAGTCCATTTACGTACACCATAAACTTAAGAGTACGAGATTCCCGCCCCTTCCTTAGTGGTGACAATGAATTTTGAAGCAACGTCCAGCAAACCAAAGGTAGTAGTGAATGTGAAATTTAAATTGAAAAATTTGTCTAGGAAGGCCAGGTTTACTCCGAGAAGGCCTAGGATCAAACATTGAATTTTAGTTTAAAGATTTATCTAGTAAGGAAAGGTGGCTCGAAGAGGTACCGAGAAACATCTTCAAAAAAAGGGGAGCGCAGCGAATCAAGAAATTTGTAGAAGTTACTGTATAAAATGTGTCGCGAAATCCCCAAAAAATGATAAGTTGGGGACCGTTGTCGACGAAAAACACAGATTTGTGTCGAATGGTGGGTCAACGTGCCGGTTCAGCGGAACCTCGTAAATCTCCCGGCACCGGGAGCCGCGTTCCCCGCGATATATTGTCGCGGATACGCCAAAGGATTTACGGAACGTCCGACGGACGTATGGATAAACAGACAACGTTCATCCGCGCCTCGCGAACACCTAGTAGACGCGCAGATGTGGGAGGACGACTCGCGTCTCTCTTTTAAAAGTTTCGCTGTTATTGTTGGTCTTGAGCCAACCTAAGTAATGCTCTCCGCGACGCAAATACATCAGCCAACTCTGTCCAACCTCCGCCATTTTTGTCTCTCCTTTGAATTTTCCCGTGTACTCGTTCGTCTTCGAGGAAGAGCGAATCGACGACGGAATTGCGATCGATATGATCGATTCCACGTGGCTGAGGAGGACTTCGAGGTTTGCGACGACGATCACAGGTAACTGGTAAATCTTGGGTTCGGTTCAATTCTCAAGGTTTCCAGGTCGCGCGACTCAAACGTGGTGAATTCTCCAAGCAATCTCAGCAAGACTCCATTTCCGCGCTTTGGCTGAAAGTTCCTGATGTAAACGGACGCTGGAGCGGTGTGGAGCACTCGGTAATTGTCCAAATTCTTTAATTAGAGATTCTTTCGTGCAGTGGAAAGCCTTTCTCGGGGTACCTTAATTGCCTAATCGCGAGGATTGCAAGGACGAGCAGTTTTCAGTCGAAAAGATGTAACGTCTTCCATTATTTATTCTCCATTCTTCCATTATTTATAATCCGTATCATCTATATTCTATATAAATCCAAGTTGTTCGTAATGATAAAACACGTCGCTTTGATTACTCCAAAAATGAATAGCAACTAACAGACATAAATTGAAATTGGTTTCGATAAAAGCGTATCGTTTGCTCGAAATCGATTTCCACGAGAATTAATTCCAAATATCGGACGCGGTTCCGCGAAAGTTTGTTTTCAATCCTCCTAATATGTGAAACGATAAATACGAGTTGCGCGTAGGTACGAATTGATTCCGATAAAAATGCACGATCTCGTAGACGTCGAGTACTTTGAGGATTAAATGCAAACACACTGCTGCGCGATAACTGGTGGCGCCAGCTAACGAGAGCTCCTGGATCGAGTATCGTTCGATAGCCGACTGATTTCTACTGCCACCTGCTTCATTGGCGCGATAAAATACTCGTTCGATAAAATTCTCCCTCGCGGAATATAAATTCCGTAAATTCCCTTGGAAATTACTGCTTTTGATTCCGATCGAATTTCAACCGCCTCGGAAAATGATTTTCCACGACAAGATAGCAGTCGTCCGTAATTATCCGCGAAATAAAAATTAAACGGAATCTCGGTCGCTTTCTACCGAAACACCGTTCGTCGCGAAGTTACGCAGCGTTGAAATTCGAATCTAATAAAAAGCTGCGTAATTCCGTTCGTTAAACTTAATTCCGTCGTCGTGCTGTTTGTTTGCGAACAATTTCAACGGCAATCCTCGCGAGCAGACGACATGCTCGAATTTCCAACTTCCGACGACGTTATCGCGCCTCGAAACATCTGCGTCGCGATTATCCTTGTTTCTCATTGGCACTCTTCGTCGATCTCTTCGTCATTTTATGTAAGTTGCGTGGCCGATATTTAAAAAATTAAAGTACTTATACGGACTATAATTTTTTATATGAACTCTCAACTGAACTTGGGAACACCGTACCGAAATGTTGAAAACGAACCATCGAGAATATGAATGATGAATGGATGAATCGCGAGGAACGCCCAGCACAGTAACACGTTGCAAACAATTATTATCCCATTTGACTATCCTGTTATCGAAAGACTCTCAAGGTCCACTCGAACCAGCTAACGATAGCTCGACGGAAGAAAATATTCTTCTCCTTTTCGAGTGCGCTTCCGCGACTACGAAAAACCGACTGACTCGGAACGAGGGGTGGGCGTGAGCAGACGGCAAAAACTGGCGCTACCTTGTTATTAGAAAAATCGCTGCCGCGCTTAATCTGATGAAACTGTTCCTAACAATTGCGAGATAGTGGAACTGCGACTTTCCGTGCGATTGTCAAACCTCTGGCGATTATTCTCCGGCAGCCACTGTTTACAGATCCGCAGCCGACCGAAGATTTATCGTTTCCCGCCGCGTTTGCAAGTATGATTTCAATGACTCCCCATTGGTAAGGCCGCGGGTCTCGCCCGCGCGACTTCGCGACGCGAATCGTCGTGAAAGAGGGCACGCGCCATTCTCTTCCGGTGACATTTGGAAATTGTTTCAAACGGTACCAAACGTTTCATAAAAATATTTCAAAGACGAGAGCGCGCACTTCGAACGATACTTTCACCAATTTTCGTAAGCGTATGTCGATTTATGGAATTTCTGAGCGCTGCACCGGCCTCGAGTTACCGACAACTCTTCTCAGGGACGGATCATTTTTACGTAACCGATAAAAACCCGACACTGACCTGTGACAACTATCTCGCTACGTAGCTGACCGTGCTTCCGCCTTCGGAAACTTAATTATGAATATTTATTCGCGCAACAATTATAATCGATGCGAGCGAGTTGCAATTTGCAACTTGCAAAGAGATAAATGCGCGGACTGACAATGTAGGTTAACGTTGAATTTTTGAAAAATCAACGAGCGCCTGTTACCACCTTGAGGAAATATCTCGATTAATCTACATATGTACATTAATCGTACGCTAATCGTACACTCGGCCGAGAGCGTGCCCCGAGAAGTTGATCGCGTTCTACGATCGAGCAAGTAATTTAGAATCGCGGTCCATCGGAACCAGGACCTCGTCGATGAACCAAAGTTTTCCCGATCGGCGTCGTGGCAGCGTGCATTACGCGCCCGCGATTCGTTTAATCATTCATCGCGTAGTTATGCAAGGGTAAGGTTGTGCAACAAGGATTTCAAAGTCTTGTAGTCGATATGCTAATGAGCTTACTCCCGGTTAAGAGGGGTTCTCGCGTTACGAAAATTCAACCTCGACGAACGGAGCCCCCCTCGACGATAAACACGGTTTCCCCAGGATTATCCCCCCGGTGCACGGGGATTAGGGTTGAGTCGTAAAAACACTATTCGCCGGACGCTATTCGTTACAAATTTATTCGGTACGCTGTTGGGATGTAACTAGGATACAAAATAACGATATAAATGAATCGTTTGAATGGATTCGAGTACAGTGGATGATCCACTGCCGTGTCGAGTATTGAAAAGTAAATAAAACACCCCGATTGATGGAGGGGAACGGGTGGGTGGGGATGTTTTGGCTGATGGGGCAATTAACGAGGTTAACGAATGGAACATAGCTTCGGACACGGGACCGGTAGCTTTCTGAGGGATTAAATCGCAGAAGCTAGACTTGTAGGCAAGGAAAGAACAGTAAACCCCCGGCGGGAGGAGAGGGACGCAACAAGGTCGCCGATGAGAACGGCTGCGGGTCGGTCGATGAAGCCTAAAACCGTAGAAATTCGCCTAATACATGTCGCATTGGCTTCCTTATAAAGCTCCGGGTTTTCACTACCAAGGTCCGCAGTGCGAGAAGAAGCGCCGAGGAGGAGGACCACCGCTTCCGCTCGTGTTCACCCGAAAAAAAAATACTTCCCGGTTCGCCGGATCCGGTCCAGCTCGAGGGTTTCGCGCGTTCCTCGCGGGTGCGGTCGCGTCGTCGCGGCGCTGCCGTTCGGGCCGCGGCTTCGTCCGTGTGAGAGTTCAGTGAATAAACGAGAAACCAGAAACAAAAGGGGGAGAAGAAAACCGAAGATAATAAACGGCGAGGTCGCGACTTGCTCAACCGTCTCGGGAAAAGGAAACTTCTCGCGCACAATCGACGCCGCGCTCTGTTATTAATTCGCTGCGCGATAGAGATCGTTGAAAAGGCCCGAGGAAGACAAAAAACCTTCCAAAAGAGAATTCGGTTTAAGGGAAATATCGGCTCGAAGGAAGTCGGGAGCAGAGAGGCGGGGAAAATCTAATCGAAGAGAGCCGAATAAACGGAAATCGACTTAAAGAAGATATCTACACGATTTGAGAAAATCTGAGCGACGTTAACGGTCCCCCGATGGCCAATTCGCAAACACTGCTGGCAATTATCGGCATCCTCTGCGCGTGCACCTGCGGCGGCCGCACGGAATGCGGAAGTCACGCGGAGATCTCGCTGCTGACGAGCATCCACGACGATCCGTCCTGCAGGAAATTGTCACCCAGAGGCGTTCTGATGTACGAAGCCGCGAAGCTACTCGCCGAGACTTACAATAACAGGTCCAGCGGATTCGACATCGGTAACGATCGTACATTCTTCCCGTTTTTTCCGTATTCTTTATCCTTTTTTTTCTTTTCGTCCTTTTTCTCTCGTCGCTTGGCTGCAACGGAGGAATACCGACAAAAACGATGCCAAGGAAAATCGCTAGAATTCCGATTCGTCGTGTTTCGACGCGTCGTCTCGACGCCACGAATTAGAAATGAATCGTTGGGAATCCTTTACCGGTTGATTTAGAGGCGACAGAGACTCGTTTAGAAGTGTGAATCGCGTTGGGCAGCCGCGAGTGTTCAACGTAGCGAGTCTCTGATTGGATAATCGATGCAATTTCGTTTTTGCTGCCTCTTCGCTTATCGTTTATCGTCTGCTTATTCGAACGTTGATGTACGTAAGAGATTCTCTTTTTTTTTTTTTTTGTTATTTAAATGCCTGTTGTTATTACTACCGCGACGAGGCAAATGATTAGTCTTACAGACATTTTTGAAATTAAATCGATTACTTGGAAAAAATTACTTGAATATGTCTAATCGATTGCGACGTGTAATTAAAGGAGGGTTATTATTATTACTACTGCGATAGGGCAAATGATTAGTTTTACAGAAATTTTTGAAAT